TAAAACATTCAGCAAGCATTAAATGTAATGGGGACAGGCTAGAAGCATTTCCAATAAGATCAGGGGTGAAACAAGGATGTCCATTATCACCACTGCTATTCACTACTATACTAGAAACCTTGGCTTTAGCAATAAGAGAAGAAAAAGAAATTGAAGGCATTAGAATAGGCAAAGATGAAACAAAGCTATCACTCTTTGCAGATGACATGATGATATACTTAGAGAATCCTAGAGAATCAAGTAAAAAACTACTTGAAATAATAAACAACTTTACCAAAGTTGCAGGCTGTAGAATAAACCCACATAAATCATCAGCATTTCTACATATTAACAACAAAGCCCAACAGCAGGAAATAAAAAGAGAAATCCCATTTAAACTTACTGTAGACATTATAAAATATTTAGGAGTCTATCTCCTGAAACAAACCCAGGAACTCTATGAACACAATTACAAAACACTTTTCACACAAATAAAATCAGATCTAAATAATTGGAAAAACATCAGTTCCTCATGGGTAGGCCGAGCTAATACAATAAAAATGACAATCCTACCTAAGCTAATTTCCTTATTCAGTGCCATACCAATCAAACTACCAAAAAAATTATTTTATAGAGTTAGAAAAAATAATAACAAGATTCATTTGGAAAAACAAGAGGTCCAGAATGTCAAAGGAGCTAAAGAAAAGAAATGCAAGGGAAGGTGGCCTAGCAATTTCAGATCTTAAATTGTATTATAAAGCGGCAATCATCAAAACTGCTTGGTTCTGGCTAAGAAATAGGAAGGTGGATGAATGGAATAGGTTAAATATGCAAGAGACAGTAGTCAATGACTATGGTAATCTATTATTTGATAAACCCAAAGACCCCAGCTGCTGGGATAAGAACCCACTCTTTGAAAAAAACTGCCAGGAAAAATGGAAAAGAGTATGGCAGAAACTAGGCATAGACCCAAATCTCACACCATATACCAAAATAAAGTCAAAATGGGTTCATGACTTAGATAGAAAGGCTGATAGTAGAAGTAAACTGGGAGAACAAGGAATAGTTTACCTATCAGATCTATGGAGAACTGAAGAATTCATGACTAAACAAGAGATAGAGAACATTATGAAAAGCAAAATGGATAATTTTGATCGCATTAAATTGAAAAGTGTTTGCACAAACAAAGCCAATGCAACTAAGATTAGAAGGAAGGTAGAAAATTGGGAAAGAATTTTTACAACCAGTCTCTCTGATAAAGGCCTCATTTCTAAAATATATGGAGAATTAAGACAAATTTATAAGAACTCCCACCATTTTCCAATTGATAAATGGTCAAAGGATATGAACAGACAGTTCTCAGATGAAGAAATTAAAGCCATCTAAAATCATATGAAAAAATGCTCTAAATCATTATTGATTAGGGAAATGCAAATTAAGTGCTTACCACCTGATTCCCAGCCCAGTATTCTATCCAATTTACCACCTAACTGTTTTCAATAGGTTACAATCACTCCATACTGGATAACTATGTACTGGCTTTTAAGATGATTAGCATAAAATGCCAAACATAATAAGATGAATGATTTTCTATGTAATTTGAAAATGCATTTCATTTGATGTCATCTCAACTGAGTACTTCCACGTTTTAAATTCATGACATTGTGAATGTTATTATCATGTTACTACATTTTCTTACATTATAAATCCTGGGAAACAATTGTATGAGAAATGCTGACAAGAAGATGATAAAAATTGTGTCATTGGAGAATTTTGCTCCTTTTAATTTGGATACTGTGAAATTATTAATAAGGTTATGAGACACTATTCTCATAATGTTAAAACTTATGAAGTATTTAATTGGTTTATTTTTGAAAGGTAAGGGTAATAATAACCTTGTGGAAAAGAGAGACAGACAGACACACAGAAGTCGTAAAATCTACTTATATTAAACTTGCCAAGCTTCTTGGGACCATATGCATGACCAAGGTGTGAATACTGTGAGATTCCTAAATAATGAATTGGTTTCTTGTAAAAATTGGATTGCCTTTCCCTCCTTGTAAATAAAGGGGAGGGAGAATTTACTATCTTGTCTATAGCAAAATCTGAATTTCATCTAACACTCTCTGGCTATCACTTATAAAAATGAAACTATATCTGTTACTCTGAGATATATTGATATTTTTCTAGGGTTTCTTTTTTTTATCAGTGATCATATATTCATATCTGTGGAATTACAGAATGCAAGTATTTTCTTAATTGTAATTATTGTTTTGACACCAGGATATTTAAACTGGAAAGAAAAAGGAAAGAAGAAGAAAAGAATATTGAGTGAAACTTTCTGTGTGTGTGTGAGGCCTGGCAAACTTTTATTGCTAACTACCCTATTGAAAAACAGTTAGGTAGTACAGTGGACAGACTACTGGGCTTGGAATCAGGAAGACTCATCTTCATGAATTCAAATCCTATCTCAGACACTTTCTAGCTGTGTGACCCTGGGCAAATCACTTAACCTTGCTTTCCTCAATTCCCCATCTGTAAAAATAAGTTGGAGAAGGAAATGGCAAACCACTCCAATATCTTTGCCAAGAAAACCCAAATGGGGTCACAAAGAATCAGACACAACGCAGCAGCAACAATAAACTCGTTGCAACAACATGAGAGTAATAATACCTGTATGTAGCCCTCAGCTATGTTTAGTGAAACTTTTCTCTTGGAGGTGTGGTCTCATGGGATTGTAATCTGATATCGTTTTGAGTTTTGAATTGAGTTTGAGTTGCCTGATTGATCATTAAGTCAGTAATACACCATTCAAGGAAAGTGCTGCTCAAGGGAGTCTAGTTGGAAAACTGCTACAGGTGGATGTGTGTGCCTGGGAAAAGTTGAGGGCACAAGGTTGGCGTGCACTAAGGTAGGCTCTTCCTGACTCAGTTGCGCTATTTCCTTTCACCTGATCAATCCTGATCCAGGCTATGATGCTCTGTGACTGAGACGGAGCTTTTCTGTATCATTGGCTGAACTGAGGATGCTGTATCCTATACCTAAGGTGAATCATTCTGTGCCCTTAGGCTTTGGCCTAGAAGATCAATTTTGATGCTGCTATACTCATGCCCCTGCTTATTCCTTTCATACCAAATCTCCCTAACCAGGGAACATAAAGCAGTAATTTATATATTCTATACATATTATCATATTAATATATAATTCTATTTTATTATTCTATACAATAATATTACACAATTATATATAAATATTATATAAAATAATTTTATTGCTACAATTCTCTAGCACCTCTGCAATGCTATAATAGAATGTAGGGTCCTTGAAATAGCTAAGAACAATTCGGGAATAATTACACAAAGATTAAGAAGTTTGTGGGACAAGCATACAAATCTATTAATTAGTAACATTAGAATCAGAAACATCTTCTGTTTGGTTACAAGAGGAAAAAAATTCTGTGTAATAATTTATCTTAGATAAGAGTTCTTTTTGAACTATCTTGTGCTGCCTCACAGAGCAATCCAGTTTTACTGGGCCTTAGATAAAGGCTTATCAATTTTATTAGTCTCTCCAAAGAATTATCCTTTATTATTTGCTTTTTGTGTTTTTATCCAATTTTTTCTTCTCTAATTTCTCACATCTCTTTTTTTCTGCTCATTTTGGCTTTCCTTATTTTAAATGGGGTGGGTATAGCAGGCTGGAGTCCCCAGGAAAGAAGAGGGAAGACCTTTAGGGGTTGGGAAGAAAGGAGGGCAGATATCCCCTGACCCTGAGGAGAGCAGGAACAAATCAGATAACCAGTGCCAAGTGGAGATTTTAGAAGAGAGCTGTGAAGGCGAGGGGAGCAGAAGTCAGGACAACCTTCAGTGGAGACAAGAAGAAATGGACATCTGCAGAGGCTGGCAAAGCCAACTTCACAGTCTCTAAGACCCAAGGATCCTCATGTGGCAACAAAGTTCTGGTTAGTTCAGAGGACACACAGTAAACCCCCTGTTCATGCTTATCTGCCCTTAAAGTGTCCGGAGAAATGCCTTGGAAGGCAGCAAAGAGCCCTCTCAGTCTGAGGACATCCAAAGCAACAGGGAGCAATTATGGTCTAGCAGGCCCTTATGGATTAGTATGGGTTCTTCTAAAAGGAGTTGGCTGTTGAGGAAAGATTCTTGGGCAGCCCTTTAGGCCACTGTTTTATTCAGCCGTCTGCCTGCACTTACTTCCCCAAAACCTTTCCATTTTGTAACAAAGGCTTGCCATTTCCCTGCCACTCTGAAATCTTCCCACCCCTTGGTCAAGAAGGCCTATGCTTCCCAGACAGCTTTCTCTTCAACAGAGTTACCCAAAGATCACACCATGGTTGTGCAGAAACTTTATTAAGAGAGTTGAAACATGATTCATTTTTGTTCCAGAAAGTTTTCCCTTTTCCCAGAAATAGTGTATCTTGTGACCCTCCACCCCAATCACAACCTAAATCATCTCTTGTAGACCCACCCCTATGTGACCCACTGTTCTGAGGCTTACTAGGAGCTCTGTAGGACAAACCAAAGTTACTTCACAATATCCTCCCTCCAACTCCTTCTTCCTTGTCTGCTCCCTAATCCAATCCAGGCTCATTTTCTGGGAAACCTACATGAATATTTCTGTATACATACACATATATTTGTCTTATTTGTTTAATCCCTGCCCAAACGCCTGGCTTGCTTCAGGGACCAGGGACTTCTACTGAATTCTTTGATGGGTCATCACTTTCATCTAGAGACTATGAGAATTCATGGTTGCATTCAAGGCCTAAAGAATTTTAAGGATCATGAGTGCAACTAGATGCAGGATAGTTTGATGGGTAACCATTATGGCCAGGTACTAGATCTTTTAACTTATCAGACCTATGAACGGGACTTAAATAATTTGAACTTGCCCTACTATCTTCTCCATTCTAGGGGTTGGGGTTGGGGAAATGATAATGGCTATGGTTTGGATTACCGCCCCTTTTTGACAGAAAATTGTTGTTGAACTCCCTCTTGACTGGACACCTGTTTTTTAACGGCGGTTTTCTTTTCTCCTTTTTTTATGTTCACATCTATCCAATGAAATGCAAAGCCTGTTAAGCATGCCGAATCATAACGAGCAAAGATAGAAGTCAGTGCCTTCCCACCGTCTGTGGAGGAAGCGGTGAACTGATTTGGACCAACTTTGCCAAACTCAAGTTTCTTGCCTTTGTTCGTCACGAAGGTGAGTTGCTGGAGGCACCTCGTATTGCCATTGCTGCCAGTCACTTGAACAATGAACTCATCTGTGCTTAGGACGACTTCCTTGAGAGAGCCCTTAGGACTACCATACCTCAAGCTCCATTCAGTCCCATGCCGTACTTGGATGCTAGCAGAGAAAATGCATCACATATCCTGAGAATTGGTGCTAATCCATCATCCCTCACCCTTTAACAAAGATCATCAAAGCTCACGGTGCCCATTTATAACACGTCCCAACAAGTGGTTATCTAGCCTGTGCTTGGAAACCTCAAATGAAGGGACATTCACTCCTCCCAAGGTTTCTGAGTAACAGAGACCTTTCCAGTATCCTTCAGTCATGCCATGTATATGACATCCCATAGCCTTGAGAAAATATTCTTTATCCCCGGTCAGAGCATGGAAGAATAAAAGCAGGATTGAATGTGGTAGATCTCCCTGTCCAACTCCATAGTCAAACATCACCATGCTCCCTGTATGGGCAATTCTATGTATGTTTTAGTGAGAGAGAGCAGGATCAATGTGACATGACTGGCCATGTTAAAGAGAGCACTGAGGACCCTTCTAGGTGCTTAAGTGAATGTATGTGTATAAATCACAAACGTCATGTGGGAGCATAAGGACGAGAGAAGTTGCTCCTTGAAACCTACTCACCTCGTTAGGTAACCTGATAGTCCAACCTGGATGCGGACTCCATTGATCTCCTTCTGCTCTTTAGAAAGGACAAAATTGGAGCCTTCCTCCTCACGTTGTAAGATACTTTGGTCTTGGCTTTCTGAAAGAGAAAAAATGGAAGCAAAAGCTTTCCCCAGACGACCTTACCACTAGGAATATACATGACTATTAAACACCAGTCAGAGCCATGGTCCTGGTGTGGAGGTCAGAGGCGCTGTCTGTCAACAGGTTACTGCAGAGTCAGTCAGGCCCTTGCACCAGGAGTCAAGGACTTCCCCTAACAAGATGCAAAGATGCCAACACCCCTCCTCCACAAATGTTTTCATTCTTGGCCAGCTTCCTGAATGACTCCATTCATGCTTTCCTTTTTTATATTCTTTTAGCCCATAGAAATGCATTTAAAGCTTCTTAAAAATTTTATTTCCTTCTTCCTGGCATCCTAGTGGAACTTGTGCTCAAGATGTGTTTGTCTCTGAGGCTTTACTTGTAAAAATAAAAGGACTAGAAGGTCTGGCTGAAATATGTCCCAAATGTCCACAGCCTTTCTATTTGTCTTCCCATCACAGTTTGAGTTAGAAAAATGAATGACTTATGGTGATTTTTTTATCTCTCACCAAGGACTAAATCTGGTGTGTTTTCTAGGTTTTGTGGAATAGATTGTAGGGTGCTGGACTGTATGCTTCTTCCTTTTTTTTCCATCTTGGCTGGTCTCTTTTGACCCTTGTGCATAAAAGAAAATTACTTGGCTGGTCTGGAGTGTATGGAGAGAGGGAGTAAAAGGGAAAGAGCAGGTGCCAGAATCAATTGTGCAGCTATATATGGTAGCATCCATGGAAGAAACAGAAAAGGTAATTGGGGAGCACGTGGAAGGTTGTAGAATGGTGAAAGGAAGAAGTCCTGGAGTGATACAGTAAGGTCCCTTGGACTAGATCTAGGAGAATGAGTTGTGGCTCAAGGAATCCGGCTCTGTTTGGAAAGATGTAAAGCCCAGGGTTGTATCAATTACAGAGAAATAGGTGAACGATAGAGCCATTGGTGTCGAGTGCTAAGGCTCTGAAATCCAGATTGTACATTTCAGAGAGAAAGGGCTAATTGATGAGAGTAGGTAATTGGTGCGTTATTTTTTCATGATTTTGAATGGCCAACTCCACTTAAAACCTGACACTTGAAAATAGTGACCTGTCAACTGAATCTTCTCTTTTACATGTAGAACATTCCTATTTCATTTTACCAGTGAAATGGTTCTTAGCACTCTCATCATCCTCCCATCCCCTCTTCCAAGGGAGGCATAGGGTGTCACATGAGGGAGTTGAAGCCTGGGGTTGAAGAAAGAACCTGGGCTGCAATGAAATCTGCTGTCAGTCTTAGGACTATGTGACCTGACTCATGCCTAATTCTTATTCTGGAAGTCTAAGCAGGACACCAGGTCAAAGGTAGAGACAGATGTCAGAGAACTTACGCTGGGATCCATTGGCTGAGGCTCCAAGGAGGACAAGTGTCAGGAATAGCAGCAGCATCTAGAAGGAAGACAGAACCCAAGTAGTTAGTGTATGGTGGGAGCCGATTAGCGAACCAGGAGAGTATAGTATAAGCCCCTGGAGAAGACGTAGCTACATTCCTTCTCCACCCAATGAAACCATCCTCTCTCCCCCTACTCCCCTCCCGAAAAATAGAAGCAAAGTATCAGTGAATTTCAAAGAGTCCTGAGTAGGGTAAGAACTGACGAGGTATCTCCATGGATACCTAAACAGTATCTATGAGTTCCTTAAATGTAGACTAGAAGCACTATTCCCTTGGGTTTTGGCCTCAAACGTTGGGCTGGCCCTATCAGTTCTGACATCTCTCACTTACCTGGACAGGTGGTGTCTCAGTTGTAGGTGACTACTCTGTGACCATGCCATTCTCACTTCGGCATTTTATAACTCTGCAGTGTTGACTCAGGTGCTGTTTGAGGCCTTGGTCCAGCCCCAGGCTTTACCTCTTGTCCAAGGTTCTAGCTATGTTCTTAGGCCACCCCAAATCCCAGGACAATGTTGGTGATCAGAGAGGGATTACCCAGAGTCTTCTCTTGCCAATGAACCCAGATGGACAATGTTTGTCTTCCTTGCTTTGCAGCCTAAACAAACAGAGGGGACTGTTCTGACACTGGTTCACAGACCCATTCTGTATGACTCCCTTGCCTCCCTCTGGACCTTCAGAGATCATTGGCCTTCAAGGAAGAAGCCTGAAGGTTAAGGTCTGACCATTCTCCTTCTACACCCTGGGGATAGTGAACAAGCATGGATGTCCTTCCCAAAATGAAGGTAACATTCATTTATGAAGGGCTTCCTGTGCATGTAGCATTGTGCTATAGTCCTGGAGAGATAAAACATTCAAGTAATCAATCCTATTGATAGAGAGGTAGAAGTTTACGGGGGAAGAAAATGAAATACACTCTTTGACCCAACTTCTGTAGCATCTGGTTTTGTTTGACTGTCTTCCTCTTTTACAAAGTTGGATTCAGGGCTGTGTGTTGTTGACAAGATGGCATGAGGTGAAATTATGTTCAGAAATGAAAGCAAAAAGCATTAATAAAACTCATTTTTTAACAGCTTGCATGAAACAATGGCTCTGTGGTTCAGGTTCACCATACTCAAGCCTCTGAAAAGCCGAGGGCATCTAGGAGACTAACAGAGACGTAATGTGCTTGTCAGTCACCAGAAACCTGAACTGAAAAGCTAAGAGAGGTGCCAGGGTAGAACAGTACTTCTCTTTGCTAAGGCGTACCACTAGATCCCCTCCATCTTTCCAAGAGATGAGCTAGCTAGAGTGAGAAGCAGTTACCAGCCCCCAGTTATAGGACAGCAGGCAGAGAATCACTGGCCATTAGGAACTTCAGAATGTGCTGTAACTGGAGAAACATCCTAATCACTTCCTCCTCCCACCTCTATGCAAGTTAGGCTAATTTTGTCTTTAAAGATATTGAAGTCATCTTTGGGATTAAATTGGTTCATGGGAGTGAAAGCTCAGGCCTGAATTGCTTCAGAAGCTCTCTCTTATGCTTGACCTGGAACACTACCATAACATCACAGGAGCAGGGAAGTCTCACTCATTTGAATCAACTAGAGGTTTCCTTGATGCATACCCTTGCTGAATTTCATTCTACCGCTATTCCTAACCAAATCTTTTTATAACTTCTGGATGACCAGCGAGTGTCTAATTTTGCTCCATTCTCTGACTTAAACCACCACGGGACTGGCCAGAGTCAGAACAAGCATAGCTATATACCCTGGTCAGTTAGGAGGAGCCAAGAACTGAATCCAGAGTCAATGCATTAGCATCTGTGATTCGTCTTGCTGAATGGCAGGGGCCAAACATCAGTTGGAATCTGTGTTTTAATTTCGATACTCCTGTGCTGGGGAGCAGGTAGGTGGTGCAGTGGATAGAGCACTGGACCTGGATTCAGGAGGACCTGACCTGAGTTCAAATCTGGACTCAGACACAT